CTCCACAGCCTGGAGCAGAGCGAACGACGGCGTTCAGCCATCTGTTCAAATTCTACAAAGCTTAGGGGTTGGAACCCATGGTCACCAGCGGGCTGGCTATTTTCAGGGTCCTGAGAGGAGAGCTGCTGGTAGTGCACTTGTATGGAGTGTTTGGTGGCCTCATCAACCTGGTTCTTAACAAAACTCGTGAGGCGGCGGAATGCCCATGGGCCAAAGGAAATCAACAGCATAAAGCCAATAAAGGGTCCTAAAAGGCTGGGTAACAGGGTGGACAGCCAGGGGGAGGTAGAAAACCAATTTTGATACCAAGATTCGTCCTTTTCCCGTTGCCTCTGCCTTTGTTCGAGGCTTTCCTCAACCCTTCTAATGCTATCATCCACCAGGCCCAGTTTATCTTTAAAAAAGCAACATTCTTAAAGAAGGGGGTTGGGGCCAATGGCAATGGGTTTGAACTGAGGTGGTTCTTTCAAAAGCCTGATGGAAAAGGTGAGACCCGAATCACGGCCGCTGATGTAAAGGCGAAGGCCCCACTCAACCTGACGAGTCCAGTGGTATTGTTTGCCGGGCGTGGTGGTGCACGCCCATAATCCCATAAAACTAGTTTGGATTACAGTGAGCTCCAGGTCGACACCCATAATCCCATAAACCCAGCCTGGATTACACAGTGAGCTTAGCCTGGATTACACAGAGAGCTCCAGGTCAATCTCATCTGCATAGCTGAGACCCTCATCTCAGAAAAGCCAAATAGAGTCATAGATTGTGTCAATGCCTCAATGGTAGAAGTTACTTTTCCAATGTCAAATGCCTGCGGGCTCCCACACTAGGCCATCCTATCAAAAACCTGCTAGAGAGAAGACTCTGCAGATCTGTTTGGGAACTGTTATCAGGATCGCGTCCTGATGCTCTGTAATTAACAGGCCACACCTACTTCTCCAGCCAGTTTTGCCCCACCCTAATCGGTCTGGGGGAGGAACCACATGTAAATTGAATGGTGGTATATTTCAGTGATTTCATTTTCTATACTTCTGCATCGTTTGACTTTTCAGTAAATAAATACTGAGCACGGATCTTCCTTGTAGGAAATGAAACAGCGATTTCCTGTTTTGGTATAAAAAGTTTGTACTAAGCCTCTGCTCAACAGTTTTGCTCTTTACCTGAGATTCCATTGTCTTTCCAGACTTGCTTTAAATTTCAAAACCACAGAGTTCTCCTCCCTGTTAAATAGACCCCTACTATTCTCTTACCATTCTGTTGAATGGCATCAGAATTCTTTCCTTAAATTTAGGATTGTGTAGGTATGAATTTCTTTTTATTTTATGGTACTGTGGATTGGATCCAGGGCCTTCACACCAAGCTGCGTCCCAACATTTTATTTTTTACTTTGAGACAGGTCTCCCTATGTTGCTAATTTGCACCCACTGGGCTCTTATCTTCCTGCCTCAGCCTTCAAGAGTGAAGCAAACACAGGCTTAACCCCGGCTATGAATGACTTCTTGTTCACAGTACCTAGCTAGCAAAGGTCATGTGAAATGCCAAGGCTCAGTGACTGCTTTACTCAGTGTAAGAATCAATGAAGGAATGCATGATTAAGTGATGAAAAACAGCCCCTGACTGGAGACTGATGTGATGTAAGCAACCTACTTAAGACCAGCCACCATGTCAGGGAATCCAGCCACTACTATGCCCATCAAAATTGTCCTGTGATTTAAAGATACTATTCTTGAAATGCTTGCCATTAGAGTGGGATGTTCTGGAGACCTTTCTCCTCTGGTGGAATCTTCAGGTTTGTCCCTAGTGCCTCTTGGACCCCTTGCCTCTCCATCCCAATCTGGCATTGTACTTGGTGACAGGCAGACTCTTTCCCATTGCAGCAGCCTCAGGGAGGTGTGCTGCTCAGCTTGCAGTTGGATCTGTATGTTCGCAGCCATGTTTATTGCTGGGTTTTCATTCCTGTAAAATGACAGGTATGTGGGAACAATCATGACCCTAACCCACTCCTAACACTCTTCATATGGGGCAAAATGTCAGCATTTTAAAAGGTAGCATACTCATGAAATTCAGTTTTTGAGTGTAAATGAGGGATTACCTGTAAGAGTAGTAGGCAAACCATATGTTTTGATTTTATTAGAAGAAATTCCTCTACTTTTAAATTTTGTGTTTGCTTTCATAATTTTTAATATTTCATCTTTGTAACGACTCTGGAGACTACAAGGCAAATATGGTACAATAATGCAGTAATTATATGGTCCAAGATACCTGGGTTAGTTTTCTATGTTAAAATATTCACAAATGCCAAATATTTAGTACTTTACTACTTAAAAAATGCAACGTCTTTAGATAATAGAGCCTACCTTTCCTTTTTCATAGGCCTATGAAGAATTTAG